TCAATGCAATCATTTGGATCATAACCTAGTTGTAGATTAGATTAGTTTCAAGAAAATTATTTTTTTTAAATAAAAATTTACACTTACCAAGTCCGAATACTCCCACAACATAAATATCTACTGACTTTGTATCATCAATAGAATCTACCAATCCGAAAGCATATGTCATACCCTGCTGTTCTTAGTGTTACCAACCCTCAAATGGTTTTGAGTGTGGAATTTGCAAATAATATTACAAATTCAATAGGTGGTAATTTTGATCCAGATTATGGGTATGTTGGACCCTGTAATTCCACTATTGAGATATTGATCGGTTTGGCTGAAAACACTATATCATTGGGAGTAAATAGTATGTATTTTTTCTTTTTTTTTGCGATTTCTCTTGCTAATATTTCATCCTATTTATTCTTCTGTTTATTGTAATAGCATTTGATTCTATGTATACTATACCTATTCCGAATAGCACCACAACGTGTTATGCAGGATTCACTGACACAAACGTAAGCTTACAAAAGTCTATATATTAAATTGCCAAAATTATCTGTACTGATTATTTCTTCTTAAAGATTACCAAACTTCCATATTTGGTTCTTGGAACCCCCTTTATGTCACTAAATTATGTAAGTTGGCAATTTGATAAATCACTGTTTCTGTGTAACGAATGTGCATCATAGATAGAGTATAATCACATGATCACGGTCACATGATTTCAATAACATGAAGAAGTCCAAATGAAAATACTTTCTGATCCGATATTGTGGATCTTTGTATGGCGATTATTACTAAGAGAATATGCGAAACTAGGCAAGTTTCGCTTGGCCAAATTTCTGTAGTATAAAGCTAGCAAAATTATTGGTTAATCTTATGTAAGTGAAAACTTTTGGCTAAATTTTGGCCATTGGTTATTGACCGTTGGCTGGCCAACGGCCAAAAAAAAAATTGTTTGGCGTAAAAAATTACCAACACTGATTTATGATGCATTAACATTTGGGTGAAATAGTGATGACACAACAATTTGCAGTGCTGTACCCCCGAGCTGATAAATGTCCCAAATTGAGCCAAGAAAGTTACACTGTTATACTGTTATTTTGGTAATTTTTGCACTGTTAGTTTCAGTAATGTTGAACTTTGTGGTTTTAATAGCTCCAGATCACGGTATTGTAAATTTTTGTTCCACCATTATTTCACTCTTGTCAATCATAGTGATATCATGAAAATTTGACCATAATCAGGTCGGAAATTCTTCTTATAGGCAGTGAAATTCATGTAGCACTAACAAAGTCTATCTACTGACTGATAACAAATTAAGTGAATTTGCACTGTTCCTAGGCATTGTCTATTGACTTCCTGTAGTTGAGTCTCCTATATTGTATAAGACTCTCAACATGCGCATATACATACATACATTTCAGATATTATCTATTATGTATGTACCTGATACAAATTATATACATATGTAAATTTTTATATACTCCCGAATTCGTAATTCGGTATTATATAATTTTCTTACTGTTCCGATAGGCGTTTAAGTTACTAGGAATGCTTTAATTATGTGATAAATTTAATTTTGAACATTCGAATCAATATTCTGTTACACGAAATTAAATGATCTTTGTGATAGTTACCCCAAATAATAACTAACTATGTAATATTTTTTTATAGTTTATTTTTAACGCTGAAAATGCTTCAGTTGGTATTGCACCCACATCTTGGGGGATATGGTAATTCTTTAGTAAGTGTTTTCAATTATTTAAAATATGATATAATTGGAAAATAAATGCTTATATTTGTATCTAAAACAGAATTTAAATATAATTAAGGAAACTTTTAAGAGAGAATTACTAAGATATATAATATATTTTTTCAACATTTCTTTTGATTTTTTTTTACTAGATTGTATTGCAATTTATTTTCTAATTAATTTGATAAATCTTTAATTCCGAAAACATTCAAATAAATTAATAAATTATGCCTTAAATATTATCAAATTAAATTAAAATCTAAAACATTAAATACATTAAAAAGCAATAAAATATTATATTATCTAGTGTTTAGATCCAGATATCTAACCAGTTATCCGAATAGGGATCTACCACAAAATCCAGACATCCAAAATCCTGACAGCACAAATCCCGACAGTGCTAATCCCGACGTACATAATCCCGACAAGATAAAATCCTG